AACTTAATTAATTAATTAATTAATTAATATAAAGTAAGTAAGTAACGTAAACAAACTAATAATACTATACTAAGTAATTACTCTCTCTCTCTCTCTCTCTCTCTCTCTCTCTCTCTCTCTCTCTCTCTCTCTCTCTCTCTCACACACACACACACACACACAATCTTTGAATTTTAGTTTGTTATAGTACGAGCCTAGGGATTTAAATTTTTACATTAAGTTTGAAAAAAAAATATGCATTTTATTACAGTAAAAAGAAAATTGCGAATATAAAAACATCTGAAGTTTATTTTGATCAGCATATCAACCTTTTTTCTAAAACATCACTTTACTGTACCAACTTACATCACTAGCTAAACAAATGTTCTTCTTTTCTTAGTAAGAAGGTGACAAGTTTAAAAAGGAGTCGAAGAACCAAGACCGAGTCATGTGGAACGGAATTTCTTAAGTTCTCCTTCTCAGTTCTATGGGAATGACAAGTGTAACGTTCAATTTTTTCGACTGTCACCGATCGTAAAGTTGCTGAGCGTCTGATAGGTGAATACTGTTGAAATAAACACGACGCCTCGAACGCCTCCCAAAGTTTCAAAACCCCCCTACGTCAATCGTTTCCTCTCCCTGAATTTTACTTTTCTGTACGTCATCCAACGGCTAAGGTTCCGGGGTTGTCGACCCATCATCTTTAGACAGGGGAAGGATAAGCCAGGATATATTTAATAAGGTTTCTTACCATATAAAGTAGTGAACTGTACGACGTCACTACCGATAACTGCAGCCAAAAAATTCTACATCCTTACTCCGATCGAATGTTCTCTCGAGCTATAGGATTTGTCATAATAGTGGGTCTTCAGATTTATCTCTACTTATAAATCAGTAGATCCGCTAAGATCTACCTAGTTTTGCACGCAATTCCTTGATTGAAATCTAACAATTTATAAAGAAAAGTTAGTCCAGCCTATATCATATCGACAATGACACTTACAGGGTTTTCCTTTCTTTCTTCCGTTTGTCATCTACGTCATATGGTCCTCCACGTGTTGTCGATTCTACCGATTTGGTCTTTGTAATAGGCTGCAGAAAGAAAAGGTGGAATATAACAAAAATATTTCAATACGAATTCACGGAAGAAAAAAAAAAAAACCTAAAACATGAAAAACGAAACACTATTTTTAGTCTGCAAAGATTAAATTGTAAATGTTACTCTGAAAAAAATTGTTATTTATTACAAAAATTCCACGTAACTGCCTTTATCGTAGAGCTGTTTCAGCTGTTTATTTATAGTTAAGAAGAAAGCTACACGATGGGCTGTGTTGTGCCCACCATGGGCATAGAACCTCCCACTTTTTTTCTGTAGCGTTATAAGCCTTCAGATTTACAGCCGAGCCAATGGATGGATACTAATTTCTCTCACCAAGCCTAAATTCACTTTAAAACAACTTACACTTATTAATGACAGCGTGGCGTCTCAAACACGAGATTATGGAAGATTACGTGCGTTTATTTTGAACTTTTTTTAGTATCACTTTATGCAGAATCTTACTTTAAAACCTTGTCTCTAAACATTTATCAGACTTAGGTGTAAGTAGTCTGTACAAGATATATTTCACCAACGCATATACTCAAACAACCCAGTTATTAAACAGCCACTACATGTAACCTTCATTTTTAGGGTTAAGTTACAATCTTTTCTGATAGTAAATCGTTCCGGTTAAATCCTTGTGTACAATTCATATTTACATGTTCTTCAAAGTAATTACTTTTCTTTTGCAGTCCTAAACATTAATGTGTCCGAAGTGTTCTTTAAGTGCACAAAATGCCAAAATAGAACACAAAAAAAAGTGTGGTGGGGGGGTTAATGACAGTTGAATATCAAAGTCAACTACATATGTGCGATTCAACTATAATTGAACTTTTAAAAAATATTCTTATAGATAAGATATTCTAGCTACGAAATCCCGATGTTAAACACTCAATATGGCGTCAACCGTAGCACACTTTAAACTACTCAACACATAACAGCAATGGTATAAAAAAACAAAAAAACAGAAATACGAAACTAGACCACTCATAAGGCATTGATACACAATACGAGTTTCGTAAGCTTTTCAGATCAAGAATGATGACAAAGTACCGCTAAGCCTCACTATATAGAGCCGTTCTGACCAATAGAAGAATATTATTATTGAAGTACAGTAAAGATCATTAGATTGTCTTAGAAGCAACAATAACAATAAACGTTATTAACCAATCATGATAATCCTAACGCTTTGATGCTTTTTAAGAGAATGTTTTCTCGACAACCAGAATTAGGACACTACAATCTACTCACAGTTTGATACATTTTATAACTAGTGCCATTTGGAGAAGAACAGAACATTGATGCTCTCAGTGTCAACGACATCTCGACCAGTTCTAAAGCGGGCGGGCTGGTGTTATATTGAGAACCAGTACTCTACGAGTTCAGCTTCTAACTATAGCTCTTTAAGAACGGAGTGCTCCGAAACGTTTCCTATCATCCTCAAACTCAATTATAAACAAATACCAATACATACATCAAATGGAATATTAATCAAGAGTTACTTTCTTATCGAGCAAAACACTGCTTTTGATTTAACTTTAACACTTTGTCTTCGATCTTATTCAGATGATTGCCATGATGATACTGGGACTTGTTGAACTCAGCACACAGGTTTAATTGCTGAAAGATTCATTTATATAGTGAACAAAAATTTTCTTTGCGATTGGTGGTAATGTGAAGGATCCGGGCCATAGTGGTATCGTAATTACACTTACCGATCCAAACAAAGGACTTGAAAATCAATGTTGATAAATATTCGCTTTAGGATTCGTCTTACCAACATACATAGTCGTGTAAAGTGGAAAATTTTCATTAGAAACCTCGTACGTTTTTATTGAAATGACTAGGAAGTTTAGGAAAACGTCATATTAATATTTATTTATATTTTTGATAACGAGTCCTAACAGATTTAATAGCTTTCTTTCGCTTTTAAACAAAAAAATAAGTGGGAACTTTCTGCACCATTAAGATTATTACAAAGCAAGCCATATACATATTCTTAGGACTTTGAAGTGTTTATTTTGTGACACTGCCGACGGTTTATGAACAACAGTTCTTTAGAAGAGACTGTTGAAGTTCTTCTGAAAGCTCCTTCTGCAGATTCGGACATAGTTAAAACACAAATATTGATGACAATCTGTCCAAGATCTAGTCAAACAATACGATGAAGCTTTCAAACTAGAGCGAGGAGTATGAATAGTGGCAAATATGACACGAGATGTTCACTTCTGGGAGAAAGTACGAAAACTGATACATGAAAGTTTTAAGATATGGTTTGAAAAATTTGGGGAATCAACTTGTCAAAACAAGGCTTAGGCTTTCAACTTAAAACTGGATCACGCAAGTTGAAGTTAAAAAGGATTGACAAATTTTATTTAAACAAGTACTTTCTTACGAGCCATCATATCCCCTGGTGGGACAGCGGCAAGTCTACGGCCTTACAACGCTAAAGTCCGGGGTTCGATTCCCCACAGTAGACGCAATGTAGCTTTGCTCTGAAACAAAAGTGTCACGTTTGAAATATGTGATCCAAAGCACTACCTAGTCTTATTTTATTTCATACGATTACAAAATGAACTACTTTTAAAAAAGAAGCTTGGGCGTAATTTCAGTAAGAAAAAAAAATGTTTGTTTATGAATTTCGGGCAAAGCTACACGAGGGCTATCTGAGCTAGCCGTCCCTAATTTAGCAGTGTAAGACTAGAGGGAAGGCAGGTAGTTATCACCACCCACCGCCAACTCTTAGGCCACTCTTTTACCAACGAATAGGTGGGATTGACCGTCACTTTATAACGCCCCCACGGCTGAAAGGGCGAGCATGTTTGGTGTGACGGGATTCGAATCCGCGACCCTCAGATTGCGAGTCGAGCGCCCTAACCATCTGGCCATGCCAGGGCCAAGAAAAAAAATAATGTTCATACTTCCTCTATGATAAATGAAGGGTCATCATTCTGCTTTTAGGAAAGAAAACTGAAAAACAATTATTCGTTTATAATTTTCGCAAATTACTGCTCGTACAAGTTTTGAAAAGTATGTTATTAGTCCAAATAAAAACCAGTATTAATTATTAATGAACGAGTGTGATATCTATTCCTAGCATATCTTAGACTGGGGTTGAGTAAAGGGTAAGAATCATTGGGGTAATTTTCGGAAGCTAGTCGTAAATTCGTACTGCTTGCAAAAAAAGGATGATTTTAGGCAAACCTAAAATATTAAATTTGTGCTGGTCAGTATGCTATGAAGCAACAATGAATGGATAAATAGAAAGGGTTGTAGCTGTATGTTGTCGAGTTGCTATATTGTTTCGTTAACTTGCCAATGAACATGAAAGTCCCTTTTGTATAGGGATGTGATAACATTGAAGCTTGTGGACGTCTAATATCTGACAGAGCAGTTCTGCTCCAATTTCAAACATCGAATTCATTGGAAATGTTACCAGTCCTATATATATGCACATGTTCTGACCATGTGAAATTATGAGCATTAGGATCCCAACAGTGTTTATAGCCACTAAAAAGTTTGGCAAGCGACACAAATAGTGTCAACGGATGCAGACAGATGGCGTTACAAAAATAAGGTTAAATAATACAACATTGTTTGACTTGTGCAGTTAAGAACTTAATACGCTTGTCTAAGCGGGGAGGGGCATGCCAGTACTCGATAATAGCAGCTTTCAATAGAAGGGAGCGTCGACTAACTATTCCCCCCTTCCATGATTACAATGGAAATCTTTTGTCTGATAAGTTCCTCCCCAAAGTGTTTGAAAATAACAGCTTAAAACCATAATAAACCTAATTTCATACTTTCTGTCGAGAGTGAACATAATCCATTTTCGCCCCCACTATACAGGGGGGGGGGGGCTGACCTAGCTCTTTAGCCAATCGTACACAGGGAAACAAAGACAAGAATAGAATAAACATGTTCTTTAGAAGACTATTTCCTTACTACAGAAAGTTAGATGAGTGTGTGTCCCTATAACCATTTAAAAAAGCAAGTTCAACTTTATTATCATCATAATCATTATTATTATTATTATTATAATATGAACCATCTAAACATCTTTAAAACAAACCAGTGAACATTTTACTGACAGTGTACTAACTTCACTTCCGAGCTTATCAAGTTGATCAAGTTGAAAGTCAGAAAAAAAAAATTGACATTAGTAGTCCGGCAGACAGGACGACGTCTGAAAAGGGAATTTTCAGTTTGTTTTTTTTTAAAAAAAAGGTAGTCAATTACACAAAGTTCATTACGAACTATGAAACGAGAACGTCTGTTTTTAGACTTTCAAAACTTCTCGTTTTCTTCGAGTCTTTGCGTCACATTACACAACTATGATGTCAGTCGGACAAAGATGACGGATGGTAGATAGCCCAGAACCTTCTCGGGGTCAGAAAAGTCATTTTTCTCAATGTAGAGAGCAGAGATTCAAGGTCAGCTAGCTTTTTTTTTTCTAACTAGTCTCATGATCTCGAGCTTAATGTTTACAAACAACTACAACAAGTCAAAACAGGGGAAGAGTTACTCTTGTACTCCCCTCACACACACACACACACACTGATACGAACACAGTCGACAAAAAGTTCTTGAAGGCCAGAAGTGAACAAGGCCACAAGAAAGACCACCCGAGCTCTACAAATTCCTGTGACATTTTCCATGATGTTTAAATAACTAATACGAACATAGATAAACATGTTTATATAATTTTGATAAAGTGCCATTTGTTAATTAAGAGGGGGGAAAAAAACGCATAACAAAACACTCAAACTAGTGCTTCTTAAATTGAAAGTGCTACAAGTTTCGAGAGGTCTCAAAAAGTTGAAAACTCCGAGAATGTGCCTTCCAAGATAACGTGTCTGCAATACGTCATTTTAACGCAATTTGCAACTCAAGAAGCCTTTAATTTTAGCTTAACAAGGTCGTTAGTTCATGTAAACTTAAGTCTATTTAATATTCTATATAAGCACATAAAATACGGTTGTCCGTCTATCTG